GGTTGGACTGGATGATCTCCTGAGGTCCCTTCCAACCCCACCAGTCTGTGATGCTGTGATTCTGTGACAGCCCATGGGTCAGGGATCCCCTTCGCCCTTACTCTTTACACCAACATCTCCCTCCTCCATTGCCGCTATCAAGTCAATTACAAACTCCTGCAGAACTTCCACAGGACCCAGTTCCTGCTCTTCCCTGCTGGTTTTCCCAGGACATCCCAGCACCTTGCTGAGACAGACGTGGAATTTTTCACGCAATGAGGCTTAATCACAAAGCTCAGTTCAGTCCCTGCAGGGAGAAGTTACCCAAGGCAGCCGGGTTTTCCCATCCCTGGAGCTGGTTAGAAAGGAGCAGGAGCCACAGATTCCCTCCACCATGGTCCTGCTGGCATCTCTAGCTGCTGCCAAGGACGACAGCGCGTGTTTCCTTCCTTCTCCCCAGAAAGCAGAGCTGGCCGAGTCCTTCCAGTCCTTGCTGACTTATGGGCTCTCCCTGATCCGGAGGTACCGCATCATTTTCCCCCTCTCTGTCCCAAGGTCCACGGAGAGGCTCCAGTCCTTGCTCCGGTGAGTTGAGCACCAGTGCCAGCTGTGCATGGGGTCAATATGGCTTGGCCACCTTGTCCATGATGGACAAAAAAAAAAAAGCTTGAGCACAAAAATTTGTGTGAGCCCTTTCTGCCCCCTTCTAGGCTGCTGTGACACTTGTCCTGTCCTGTCCCTTGTCCTGGGCTCCCCGTGAGGGATGTTGTTGGGAGGTGACGGTCTGTTTGGGTAGGGTCTCTGGGAGGAGAAGGGGTTGTTTCTGATGGGCTGGTGCTGGGTCTCACTCAGGGTTCTCACTTTGCAGAGTCTTGGTCCAGATGTGTAAAATGAAAGCTTTCCACGAGCTGTGCACGCTCAGCCCCGACCTCCCCCAGATGGTCTCCACAGCACTGAAGGTAGTTGGATCAAGGGTCTCACCCTCCCCAACCCCAGAGAGGTGGGACTCTGTGGCTCTCCCGTCCCATCTGTCCCCTGCTCAACGTCCACACCTCAGCAAAGCCACATGGACCACCATGGTGGGGGAAAACACCTGCCTCTCTTCAACCTGGTGGTCCCAGGCTGTGGTTCCCACCACATGGAGCTGACCACACCAAGGGATCAGGGAGAATGAAGGGGGAGACAGAACTGGCTTTGCTCCTCCTGCTTCCCTGCCATCACACCAGGACTCCTCTCTTGCAGTCAGGCACGACAGAGTGGTTTCACATGAAGAAACAGCACCTCAAGCCCATGGTGAAGGTCAGTTCCCATCTCTGACTCTCTGACATTAGAAGAAGCAATTTTCTGGGCTTGAGGTGGGTGGCCCAAGGAATTGGGAAGGCAAGACCGAGACAAAGCTTCTCCAGTTTTTTGATACAGTCAAAATATTCGGGTTTCCAGCTTAAAACACCATGAGACACGTTACCTGCAGCTGCCAAGGTGCATCAAAGCTTAAGGCCTTGGTGCAAAGCTCAGGAGAACAACCCAGCCACACAAGCACAGGGTGACACTGGATGTTACTGACAACTTCTTGGTGTTCCCAATGTGGATCTAATGATAGATTGCTACCCCACGAGAACAAACCATAGAAATAGATCAGATCAGAAGAGAGCCCAGGTTATCTCAAAGTCACAGAGCATCCAAAACAACCTGTTACTTCCTTTGCAGAGCATGGAGGAGAATGGTAAAGCCTTGTCCAGACTGCTTGTGGAGGTGATAGGAGATCTCCAGCAGTGCCAGAAAATCTGGAATAAATTCTTCATCAAGTAGGTTTTGGAGCTTTGATCCCTCCTCATCTGCCTTCCCTGGGGCCAAGAGCAACAGGGCACTTTGATGCCTTGTTCTTTGTCTCCTGGGCTCCCCAATAGCACCTGTGGTCCCATCTCTGCCTGATAGAGCTGGGCTGTCCTCACCCTTATGATGAGGACATGGCCTGGGAGGGTTTGCTGGGCTGGGTTTGCTGGGTTGGGGCTGGCAGGCTCCTGACTCCCTGTTTCTCTCTTGCAGCACCTTGAAGTTGAATCTCTTCTCCATCGCCTACCTGGAGCTGGACAGCCTGGTGAGCAAGCCTGGGCTGCTGCTCACTTGTGGGACTAAGGTCTAAAGGCAGACTCAGATTTTTGACCACCCCTCATGTGTCAACTGGTTGTTGCAAGCCTGGAAAGGGAGCAAGGCAGGGAAACTCTCTGTCTTTCCCTGCGTGCCCGTGAAGTGACTGTCATCTCTTTACTTGACTCAGTGGATCTCCTGAAATGCCACCCAAAAGGAAGAGGAGTCCCCTGAGCTGACCCTCACCCCATGGCTACAGAGGAGCCCTCCCAAGCCTTCCCAGCCAGACCCTCACTAACAGCTGTCCCCTCCCTGTCCCTTGGTCACTGCCAGGTTGCGGAGCACGTCCAGGAGCAGCTGCATGAGGTTGACAGCAGCATGTCCAAGCCCACGGCCGAGAGCCTTTTCCAGCTCTACATGAACCTGCAGGAGCTCTATCGGATGAAGGACTTCCTCGCAATGAGGTACTGACCTGGAGAGAGGGGAGATGCCAAAGGGAGGAACGAGCAGTTAATTCAGAGGAACTCCGAATCCTTCCCATTCATTCCATCACTAATTACACCCAAGGGTGGGCAGACCAGGCTGTTGGTGTCTGGTGTTGATGTTGAGCACCACCAGAAGGGTTTGAGGCTTGCCTCGGAGTGGGGTTGATAGAGATCTCAACTTCCAGACAAGTGGAGGTTTCTCCTTCACACATTGCTCTGTGCTGCCTCTGCCTTGGGGCAGGTTCTTGTATGTGAAAGCAAGGAGGGGTGATGTCCCTGTGCCATCACTGTGCAGTTGGAGAAGCTGGTGCCTTCATCCACAGGGATGGACCTCTGGCTCTGAGCAGTTTCCATCAGTGGTTCAAGGAAGCTGTGCCCCAGTGGCTGCAGAAGGCCTACACCATCGCGCTGGAGAGGGCACAGAGAGCTGTCCAGATGGACCAGGTAACCCAAGGAGGAGAACATCTCCTTCCATCCTTTGGGGACATTCCAGGTCCCTCCATGCCTTACCACTGTGCCTGGCTCACAGCATTGAGACCACCACGCAGGTCCCTCTTGCAGCCCAGGAGTGGGCTGATTTCTCTCCCAGATGCATAACAAAGGATGTGGTCTCCTGGACCACTTGATCCCAACCTGGCCCCACACCCCAT